TAAAAATACAATTGATTTTTCATATTGATCCTGAATCTTGCAACCTTGCTGAACTCATATATTAGCTCTTGTAGTCTTCTTGTGCACTATGCCTTTTATGATCTAATCTTGAAGGGCATACAGGTCACTTCTCAATATTATCTATTATTAAAAGTTAGTCATGGAGTCCAGCATACACTTGAGGGGAGGGATTTCAGACTCCACTTTTTGAAATAGGATTGTCAAAGAATTTATGGACATAATTTGAAGCTATCACAATAGTGTACTAATGATTGATTGCCTGATACAAAATTGCTACCCAGCCCTTACTCCTAATGTCTGTTTGAGTTCCATTTGGTCCTAGTCCTCTACTCTAGAGGACAGGAACTAGTAAAGGGGTGAATTTCAAAGTTCTCTTTGAGAATGCTGCATTTGTGTATAGTAGAGATGGATGGCTTCTTACTACAGATTGAATCAGAAGAAATATTTTGAATAAGATTTTGAAAGATTTGAACCAGGTGTCGTGCCCTTATAGAAAATTATTAAATTGTATCAGCATGACCAATAAATCCAACTTCTAAAAATAATGTTAGTGGGAAGTCAGGCCTGATTCACAATAGGAATAAATTTATTGCTTATTTATAGTTTTTCTCCTTTCTCTCTCCTTCCCTGGCAAACTTTCTCCTTCTCTCCTTTCTCTCTTTCTGAAAAGAACTTATAATGTTTAATGAATCCTACCTCTATTTGATCACTAGCACAGAGGCTGTCCCATATCCTTGAACTTCTCCTTAGGTCTTCTGTTTAAGAACCTTCACAATTACTGGCTGCTTCATGAGATTTCTTCATTTCTTCTCACTTTGTGGTAGACTGGCTGCATCCATCAAAGATGGCAACTATTGGGGCTGGGGATGTGGCTCAAGTGGTAGCGCGCTTGCCTGGCATGCGTGCGGCCCGGGTTCGATCCTCAGCACCACATACCAACAAAGATGTTGTGTCCGCCGAGAACTAAAAAATAAATATTAAATATTCTCTCTCTCTCTCTCCTCTCTCTCACTCTCTCTTTAAAAAAAAAAAAAAAAAAAAAAAAAAGATGGCAACTATTGTTTCAGCAGCATTGACTCTTGTCTGCTTCACCAAGGATCTACAGTATGTTGACAGAGAAATTCTGGTTCTTTTTCAGGAGGTAAAACTTCATGCTGCTCTTCCAAGTGACCAGAGTGTTCTTTGTGGTCTTGTAATGATGCATGCCACCAGCATTCTCTCAGCCTCTTAGGATCTTCCAGTGCTGGGCAAAGTGATCATAGCTGTGGCTCACAAATCCCTGAATTTCATGGCCTTAGTCTAGATGTCATGACCCATGATGGGGTGAAAGAGCTTGGATAGGTATTCTACAAGAACAATTTCAAAGTTAAATTTGTTCAAAAATAATCATAATAAGCCTCATGGAATTAAGCTTAACATAAAAGTGCTTCTAATTATAAACACTGGTGGGATAATAAATGATACTTAACACTGTTTATGTGGTAAATATTTCTATATAACAGTTTAATTCATAACTGAAACATCACACAACTTGACATTTACTACTTCCTTAATTCTTATACTCTCTTTTGAACACTTCTTAAATACTACATATACTTCACAATAATTCTATTATTTCTCGAGAATAAGATAATCCAATCTTCTTGACCACTGAACTAAAAAGGAATTTTTTGGAAGTGATTTAAGATAGTGTTTGGCTCTTCATGATTGCTATTCCTGGTGGCTCATAAACTTTTCCAAAAACCACCAGATTCCACAGATGACAGTGTGGGGCAAATTCAAGGAGACTAAACAAACAAAGAAAATGACCCAAAGGTGTCATTACAAGCATCTATCTTATTTTCTGTTTTTTAAGTTATAAAAGATATTTTTCTTTCTTTCATGCTTTTACCTTTCCCCTCCAACAAAGTAAACAAATAAGTAAGAAAATGCTAAATTAATTGTTCAAGGGGGTGATTCTAAGGATTGAGGGAAGGACAGAACCCACTATAGGAATTACTAGAGGCTCTTGGTAGGCATTTTCAAATAACAATTCTAACAGGCTTTTTTTTAGGAGACATCAAGTCCAGGTGAGTCACTGTTAATGACTCATTCATCCAGTAAATATGTATTGAGCACCTACTAAGTGCCAGATACTGTACCAGACTGAAGACTCAATGAGCAAAATCAGACGGGAACACCTTCTTTCTTTATAATTTTTTAGTTGTAGTTGGACATAAAGGTATTGTACTTTTATTTTTTAATTTATTTTTATGTGATGCTGAGGATCAAACCCAGGGCCTCAACATGTGCTAGGCTAGTTCTCTACCACTGAGCCACAACCCCAGCCCCCAGGAACACCTTCTTTATGGAGGTTTTGATTTGGAGGTGAAGGAAGAGGAGACAAACATTGATCTAATAATCACACAGGGAAATGTAGGATTATAACTGTGATCAGTTCTAAGAAAGACAGAGCCCAGTAGTATGAGGAATGTAACCTCACCTGTGGAAGGGTGGGTGGGTGGTGGAAAGCCTCCACAAAGAGACAGGATGAATTTGCAGGAAAGTGAGAAAAACTTTCCTGGAAAAATAGGATGTGGTTCAGGTGCAGAGAGGATAGGGAAGTTGTATGAAATAGAGCTGGAGAGATTGGAAGGAGCCCATTGTGGAAAGCCTTCTAGACAGTATATTATTTCAGTCAAAGGTGGGGTGAAAAGGTTAGAAATCATTGTCTAAGTAATTTAAAACGCTGAATTAAAAGTAAACTTTTCTTTTGTATCTTTATTTTCTCCCTTTTCTTTTTCTTAAATGTGAACTGAAGAGAATTCAGAACTTTTTTTTTTTTTTTAAACCGGGGATTGAACTCAGGGGCACTTGACCACTGGGCCACATCCTCAGCCCTATTTTGTATTTTATTTAGAGACAGGGTCTCACTGAGTTGCTCAGCACCTCGCTTTTGCTGAGGCTGGCTTTGAGCTTTCGATCCTCCTGCCTCAGCCTCCTTCAGATCTGAGGTTCTAAAAGAAGTTTTGGTTAAATGTTGGTGACTCATACCCTACTGAAGATTTTAATTTTGGGTGAAGACTAACATTCTGCTGTAGTGTAGCCTGTGTTAATCCAGCAGTTTACCACATAATCCTGGAACTGATTCCAAATGTTATCTTGGCTTTATTACTTCCTCACTTCTTGGCTTCACATCTTTCTGTAGGTGAATTATTTTTTATTTTAATAATTCTTTTATTTGTTCTAATTACTTATACATGAAAGTAGAATGCATTTTGACACATCATACATAATTGGAGTATAACTTCTTGTTCATCTGGTTGTATATACAATCATATGTGCACATAGGGTAATGTGTGATTTATTCTACTTTCATTCCTACCCCAATGCCCACTCACCCCCTTTCACTTCCCTCCGTCTAGTCCAATACCTTTATTTTCACCACCCCCTGCCCATTGTAAATTAGCATCTGCATATCAGAGAAAACATTCAGCCTTTGGTTTTTGGGGATTGGCTTCTTTCTTTTAGCATGATATTCTCCAGTTCCACCCATTATGGTAAACGCCATAATTCCATTTTTCTTCAAGGCTGGGTAATATTCCATTGTGTGTGTATATACCACATTTTCTTTACCCACTCATCTACTGAAGGTTATATAGGTTGGTTCCAAAGTTTAGTTATTGTGAATTGAGCTGCTATAAACATTGATTTGGCTGTGTCACTGTAGTATGCTGATTTTCAGTCCTTTGGGTATAAACCAAGGAGTGGAATAGCTGGGTCAAATGGTGGTTCCATTCCAGGTTTTCTGAGGAATCTCCATAGTGCTTTCCAGATTGGTAGCACCAATTTGCAGTTTCTGTGGGTGAATTATTAAGCATTTTGTGCCTCAATTTCCTGAACTACAAAACAAAATTAAAATAATATCTCAATAGGGTACCATGAACATTATGTGATTTACAGAAATGTTAAGCACTTTGAACTACACACATAGTGCTCCAAAAAGTATTTATTATGACACAGAACTTTTATTGCAAATATTAAATATTCCTGTGTTACCAGATCTTGAAGTATGGTATGGGAACCTGCAGGGGGTAGAGAGGGGATTTCTTGGACATTCTTTTCAGAGGTGAAGCCAAAAACTATCTCTTAATACTAAGAGGTTATTTGCCTTTTCCTTTCTTTCTCAAGGAGATGCAGTAGCTTCTCAGAGCTATTAAAAAAATGGATAATATTAATATATACAAGCAGCTAGATGACCCGGTTGTCTTCTATTAAGCTGGACATTAGAAACTTCCCACTAAATTTTTCATTTTCAAAGTTACTTGTCATAAAAATGTTATTTATGTCATTGTGTAAAGTACTAAAATATTATGAAACTAATTCTCATACAATAAATATTGGCATAACCTACAGGAACAAAAGCTTTTTGGATCATTATTATTATTATTTTTTTTGAGTACAAGGGGACCCAGTGATCTGATGCAATCTCTGAACAAACGTGGGTGCCTGTGACTGCCTCAACATCATGCTTTCCGGCCTCTAGACCTTCTTGTGGTTTCCTCTGCCTGGACTGCACTTCTTCCACTTCTGCCTGCCAAAGTCCTACCTCTCCTTCAAGAACGACTAAGGCTGGATCTCTCCTGCAAGTTGGTCTAGGTTTTGCACCCTCCTACGCCACCAGAGCAAGTCCAGGCCTCCAGGATGGAGCTGGGTTCCTCCATCCCAGGGCGCTCCTCCCAGCACTAGCCTGGCACAGCCACATTAACTCGACTAAAAGGTCGGTTCCTGGGCGCTTCTAAGCCGGAGGTGGTCGAAAGGTCACCAGGAACAGCTGGTGAAATACAGCCATCACATGGGTGGAAAGGAACCGCACAAGCACCAGTTTTACCACCTTGCCCGCTGGGCTTCCGGGCACGCCTCGCCGCGTAGGGGCGGAGCCACGCGTCCGAAGAGGGCGTGGCCCCCAGCCCGCGCGGGAAAGGGGCCGGCGCCGCATGCGCGCTCACAGTCGGCGGCCGCGCGCAGCACGCTCAGGGCCGGGATGGCGGCAGCGGCTGGAAGCGGGGCGCCCCGGGAGGAGGAGGGGCCTGGAGGGGAGGCAGCGGCATCACAGGCTCAAGCTCCGACGAGTGCCCCGGGGGCTCGTCTCTCGAGGCTGCCTTTGGCGCGAGTGAAGGCTTTGGTGAAGGCGGACCCCGACGTGACGCTAGCGGGACAGGAAGCCATCTTCATTCTGGCGCGAGCCGCGGTGCGGCGGGAGTGCAAGGGCACTAGGGGTGGCGGCGCGTGGTTCTGGGGGGCGTGGCTTCCCAGGGGCGGGGCTTGGGGCGGCTGGGGCAGAATTTGGGGAGGAGGAAGAAGAGGGTCTGGGCGGGGTGTGCTGAGCCAGAAAGTGAAAGGGGTGTTTGGCTGCAGTCTGAGGCGTGTGTAATCGGAAGGCTGGAGCAGAGGGTCACGCATCTTCATGGGTTGGATTGCTTTGTTAACCACTTTACGAGGGCGCAGAGATCAACTTTAATTTGCAGCTCTCCTGGCTCACATACAACTTGTAGGAGTCTAGTAAAGGAACACGGTGGATTTATGAGTAGGGGGGAAGAGGTACTGGAATGACCTTAGTGAAGTCCAGTACCGTCTTAAGTTTCAGAACCTCCCCACCTGCTTGAGCCCTTCACCTTCTTTTCTTTCAAAAACAGGAGTCCATTGATTTTTTACTTTGTTCATTTGTTTGACAGGAACTGTTTGTGGAGACCATTGCAAAAGATGCCTACTGTTGTGCTCAACAAGGAAAGAGGAAAACCCTTCAGAGGAGAGATTTGGGTAGTGTCTCTGTAGTATCTGGCAGTAGACAATGGAGGGCTGGGTTAAACTTCCCCTTTGCAGGTTGAGAAGGCAAAGCAGGTGTTTGATTTCTGACCCTCTGTCTAGCTACTAACCCTTGCACATATCCGAAGTTTTCAAATCTTGTACTCCCTGCTACATTGCCAAACTCTTCTCTGATAACTTTCAGAGCAAAGAGAATAAATTCAAGAGTAAAGCAACATGGTAGGAGGATTCCCATTTCCCCTTCTCACTGAACAGTATTTGCCCGGTCTTGACTTTATTAGGCAGCCAGTATGTAAGATTTAGTGATGGAACAGAATAGATCTCAAGACAGCAAGGGACATATTGTATAAATGCCTAAATCTGTATAAAGCCTTATCCCCTTCATTTTGTGGATTGTGCTGATTTGGAGCTGATGTCCAAATGACTACAGTCACGTGTCCCTTTTCCTTGTGTTTCAGATAATGCAATAGAAGCTGTCGATGAATTTGCTTTTCTGGAAGGTAAGCTTTTTATCAGTGGAAAATCATTTCCACCTATCTTTTCCAAGCTCATGATGCCAGTTCAGCTCTTAAAAACAAATGTTTGGTTCTCTCTTATTTGTACAGAGATAGTTTCTTCTCCTTACTTCCTATTAGGACAGTGAAAACAAACTTGTTAACTCTATTTAGAGTCAGTTTCCCTTGGGGAGTTAGAACTTCTGGAGAACTGCTAACCATAAAGAAGGGAGAGGAAATATGAAGACACATGGTGGACTCAGATGAATTGGAAAGTTTTATACCTGCTTGTGTTTTCCATTCTAAATATAAATAAATAGAAATTTTGTTCCCTCATAACATTAGCCATCAGGAACAATTGCCAACATTCTGTCCATTTTCTTCTTTAGCAGTCTGTATGTACTGATTATTATGCATTGAGATTCTGTACTTTGTGTAACTATTTTTTCTTAGGAATTTTAGGTTAACTCATGTACTAACTAAATCTTGTCATCAAAATAGGAAATACTTGAAGTACCGCATTTTAACTGCTTTCTCAGCTGTTTCTTCTACTGAATTCCTGAGTCTTACTCTTCAATCCGTGTATTCTGATTGAATAGCTTTTCAGAATCCATGTGCCCTCAATTCATTCTCACCTTCACCCTAACAAGATGTTCTCATTACCTCCTTTAAGCTTCATTACTTTCTGAAATCTTTTCTTCATTTATTTCATTCTCTTTATTCCGTGTTCTGCATCTCCATATCACACTAGGCCTGTGTTGTAGTCTTTTAAATGTCTTTGAAGATACCTTTCCATGGCCAGCTTCAAGTCTAGATCTTAAGTAATCTTTAATTTGTAGATCTTTGTTCAGCCTCTTTTTCAACCTATTTTTCTCTTAGTTTCGTTTGTTGCTCTATAATCCAGTATGTAGGTGTATTCTGTGTGTGGGTTTGTATGAAGAAAAAGTGTATTCTCCAGTTGTTGGGTGCAATGTCAAATCTCATTGCATAGTTTATATTTTCTTTATTCTTACTGAATTTCTTTTGTCTGCTTACTGTATCAATTAATGAGAGTTGTGTATTAATGTCTCCTATGACTGAAGAATATTTTCACTTATGGTTCTGATCTATTTTTCATTATAGATTTAAGACTGGAATTATGAATATACAAATTTAAAATAATTATATATTGCTCGTGATAGAACCTTTAATATTTAAAAATTTACCATTGTTACTTCTAGTAATGTTTTTTGCCTTAAAGTCTATTTCGTCTCATGTTATTAAAGTTTGTCAGCTTTCTTTAGTGTTTATGTGTTTTTTTTCCCCATCTTTTTGTTTTTACATTTCCATATCTTTGTAAGCGCTGTATAATTGGGGATATTAAATTCATACTGACAATCTTTGCCTTTAACTGGAGCACTTAGTTCATTTATGCTTAATTTAATTAGTGATAACAATAGACTTAAATCTCCCATCTTATTTTTTCTGCTTTTCATTTGTCCTATTTTATGCTGCCTTTTGTATTATTATTCCTTTTTTTTCCCCTCCCTTCCATCTGTTGGGAAATTGTATGTATCTATCCTTTTAGGATTAGTTCATTAGTTACTATATGCATGCTTAATTTATCAAAGCCAAAAGTTAGAACCTTTTCCCTCATCCTCAGCAAAATGGAATCTTAGAATCCATTAATGCCATTTATAAACCCTTATCCCTCGACTTAACATGCTGTTATTGCCATGTGTCTTTATCAGCCCACATCAGACATTGTTATTCATGTATGATACAGATAATATATGAGTTTATTAATGTTTACTACAATTTTTGATCTTTTTGTATTTCTTATCCTCCATTTGTAATCCTTTTCCCCCAAATAAGTCCTTTAGAGCTTTCTTTGGTATAGGTAACTGAGAGCTGACTCTCAACTTTCTTTTTTCTTTTTTGAGGGGGAAATGGAAGTACAAAAAGATTTTACTGCTAAATTTAGAATTCTAGCTGTCCTTCTACCATTTTTTGGCTTCCATTGTTTCTGTTGAGAAATCACAGTTTGTCTTTTGAAGGTAGTTTATCCCTTTTTAAGATTTTCTCGGTATCTGAGGATGTGGCTCAAGCTTGCCTTGTGTGTGTGCGGCCCGGGTTCGATCCTCAGCACCACATACAAACAAAGATGTTGTGTCCACCGAAAACTAAAAAATAAATATTAAAAATTCTCTCTCTCTCTAAAAAAAAAAAGATTTTCTCTTTGCCTTTGATTTTCTGAGATTTCACTCTGATGGATAGAAGTTATGGATATGATCTGGGAAATTCTCAGCCAGTTTCTCTAGACATTGACTCTGCTTTGTTCTTTCTCTGCACTTTTTCTGGGATTTTCACTAAACATACATAAAAGCCCAACCCTAATTTTGCCTTTGTATGATATGTTCTGTGTAATTTTTTGTTTTGGAATTTTCGGTTCTCTCATCAGTTCTTTTCATTTCCTTTAAACCTCTTTGTTGATTTTCTGTGGATACTCTGAAACTTGTCTTTCATTTATTTAAGTGGTGAATGTAGTTGTTTATTATAGAGTATGTCATGTGTAATATTCCATCTAATATCCAAAGCCTTTTGAAGTTCTTACTTTGTAGTATGTCCAATCCAATATCTAGACTTTTTGAGTTTGTCTTTTTTTATCTGTTCTTTCTTTTGGTAGTGTCTTTGCATAGTGGTCATTGCACTGGAAAAAATTATTTGTTGATAATTTGAGATTTTATGGTGATATCTTTCTCCAAAGAAAAGTTTTCTTTGCTCCAGCAAGACACCTAAGAACATTATCAGTATAGTACCTCCTTAATGAGATCTAAGACTGAAAGATTCCTGCATCATAGTGGTGACGTAACCTCTGGGCTACAGGTCTGTGAGGAGTCTGATTTAATTTTGGTTACTGTGAGGGTATAACATTATGGGACTCTAGCTTAAAAAAGGATGGGTTACCAGTCCTCCTCACTCAGGCAGATTTTGGGGTTTGGCTATTGATTGGTTCCCTGCCTTTTGAAGATTTTAGATTTGCCTTTTCTTGATTTTTTTTTAATGTCTTAAAGATCTTCTCTCATTTATACACACACACACACACACACACACACAAAGTTGTTACATATATACATGCACATATTTATATTTATATATTTTAGCTTTATTAGTTGGTCTCAGCAAGATGTTGTCATTGTCAAAAGCAGGCTATTATCTTTTTAAATTAGAGGTGTTTCTGGCTTGTTTTTACTATATTCTTTGCCTTGAGTTATCTGTTTTATGCTAGAACTTTTAAAATAAATTTTGGTCTCTTTTATTTGTGTAGGATTTCTTTAAATTCTCAGTGATGTTCATTCTTTTTAAGAATGAGAGAATGTGGAGACTGGAAGCTGTGTGTAGTGTAGTGGGGATGGTTGTTGCCTGGCAGCTTTGCTTTAGGATGAGCAGGGTTGTGGTCAGATGTTAACCTGGGGCTTGTGGGAGCAGTGTTGTCAGAGGAGCTCTAGTGTCTCCTGATGGTCTGTCTGGCTCTTAAAGAGAGCCCTGTGCTTCTCCTATCCAAGTTAGGTGTAAATATCTTCACCACATATAAAAAGTTATGAGAGACATGTGGGGGCAATAGTTTGTGATAGAGAAACATGGGTCATTGTCTCATTTTCCTCTCTGGTCTTTTATAATTCTTGGTGACTGAGTCTAGATCCTCCCTATGGTTCTAGGCAGATGGACTTCCTCTTCAGCTGCAGCCCCCTCTGTGTTCCTTCTGGGTTCATTTTTCTCTACTCTATTTATAAACTTGCTTCAGGCAGATTTTGATAATTCACTTTTTTTGTTGTTGGAATCTGTTAACTGCCCATAGGCCCCTGTTCCTTATTGTAGATTTATGCCTTTTTTAAACCTTTTTTTCCTTTTGAATGTAATTTTGGGTGGCAGCGCATATAAATTTATGGGCTTGGTCCTACATCTTAAGCTGGAACTATCTAAAAGATTATAAACTCTTTTAGCTTATGTCATTTATTTTATGTCACTTACTCCTTGTATGGTTTTCCTGTGTTTAGTTACACAACAATTTCTTAAACCTTACCTACCTAATTCTAATTCTCTAGATTGGTATGCTTAATTTCCAACTGCCCACCCTCTTTAATATTATATTTTTCCCTGAGGAGCTTTTGGATAGCTATTCTTCAAAATTAGAATTAAAATTTGAATTATATCAACATCCTTTCTATTTTAACTTTGCTCAGTTTGTTACACTAATCCCGCTTTCGAGGTACCTTGCTTTACATATTGCTCTTTGTATTTTTAGGTACTTTGGATTGATTGCTGAGCTGGACAGTTTTTGAGCCTTCACTGCATTCTTTAGCTTGCCTCTCTGCAGGCCTCAGCTTTGAAGAACAGAATCTCTGCACATATGCACATCTTCCTGCTCTACCTTTACTTAAGCCGGGATAAGCAGAGCTCTTACCTGATAACTTTTCTTTATAAGGTCTTCCACTACTTATGTCTGTCTTCCACTTTAGCCCTGGATGCAGCTGTTGCTGCTTGGGGCAGAGATGAAGAAATTGTTTGCATAGGTGGCTTAATGAATGATGAGGACCAGAATAAAGGTCTTTGATCAGCTTAATTCTAGTGTGTTCCATGATCTTGCCTTTGTTCTTGCCCTGTGATTGGAAAGCCACCATGCCCTGGTACAGACCTTCCTGATCTTCCCTGCCAGCCATTTTAAACCACAGTCCTTTCATTATTTTTGTTCTTTGTTCAATGTGGCACCATAATATGGTTCCAGAATTTATAGAATAGTATTTGTCTTTAGTAGTCATAGATTGAAAACTAGTTAAATTTTTAAATTGAGAAATAATTCATAAACAGTTCACCAAAGTGCATAATTCATTGGTTTTTAGTATAGTCACAGATGATGTGCAACTATCACCAATGAATTTTTGAACATTTTCAAATGAATGAATCACATAATATGAAGGCTTTTGTGCTTTTGTGTCTGGCATTTTTCATGTAGATTTTTTTTTTCTTTTTTTTCTTTCAAGCGGTCATATTTATTTATACCAATAGGTTATATTAGATCATTAGTACGATAACTACATTATTGTTCATGTAGGTTGTTTTTGTTTATTTTTTTTAAGATTTGTTCATGTATCAGTACCTTTTATAAAAATTGTGGTAAAGTATACATAATATAAAATTTACTGTTTTAACCATTTTTAAATGTATTTAGCTCAGTGGCATTAAATATATTGTTGTACTACCCTTACCACCATCCTCCAGAATTGCTGACACTTTGGGTGGGGAGAAACAGGGGAAACAGTATGGTGAAGGTTTTATTTATTTTTTTCAAATGTAGAACTTTCCCTTAGAAAGATGTTAACATAGTGGGTGTTTAAATTCCTTTAAATTGTGTAGCTTGTATTCTTAGATTCTGTTTCTAATTCTTAATAACGGCTGAGATCAAAAAGTGAAAAAAGTAAATTGAAACTTGATACTCATTAGATACCCATTAAACAGTAACTCCTCTTTCCTGTCTCCCTCAGTAACTGGCTAAATTTTTTATTTTTGTGAGAAAGTGTGAGTGACATAGGAAGCAGGCAGAGGACTAGAAAGAAGTGATTAAGGGAAGCAGCAAGAAACTTTGGAGAGCAGTTCTTGAGTATTTTTGGTTGTGGACCACTTTTAAGATACAAAGTCCAGGGCTGGGTGTGGTGGTGCGTGTCTGTAATCCCTTCGATGGAGAAACTGAGGCAGGAGGATCACAAGTTCAAAGCTAGCCTCAGCAATTTAGTGTGGTCCTGAGAACCTTGAAAAGCCTAAAATAAAATATGAAAAGGGCTAGGGGTGTGGCTCAGTGGTTAAGTGTCCCTGGGTTCAATCCCCAGTACTAAAAAAAAATAAAAAAAAAGATACAGAGTCCACAGGATCTTCCCCCTAGAGTAACGATGAGATGCTCAGTCCTATAACATTAAAAAAAATAAACTTCATTTCAGAATAAGATGATTCCCAGAAAGTTCTTGCACAACCCATACCTAGTTCCCCCATTGCTAGCATCTTAAGGTTACTAGGTACATTTGTTAAGAAATGGCATTTATGGGTCACTATTAACTGCACTCATAGTTTTTAGGATTTCACTAATTTTCCCATTCCAAGATCCAAACCAAGATACTATATTGCATTTACTTGTCATGTTTCCTACTCACTGGTTTCTGACAGTGTCTAGTCTTTTCTCATTTTTTATTTTATTTTTTTTTACTGCTTTGACATTCTTGACTAATTCTGGCCAAGTATCCTAGATTGTGCTCTTGCCTGGGTTTGTCTATCTGTCTTGTCATTAGTTAGATCCATAACTTTGCATATAATTTTGGATGTTTTACAGACCTTGGAGGCCTATCTGTATGCCTCTTATTATGGTAAATGGGAGTTTACAAGGGCATGCTGACCTTTTTTCAAGGTAAATTAAAATATAGGTTGCAGCTCAATAGTGGGACATGAAATCAATATAGTGTGTTGCCACCAGCATTTTTTAATATAGCAAGGTGACTGACTGATTGTTATGTTGACATACCATATTGAAAAATATAGACAAGATGTTAGATGCTGTCACCAAAAAGTAAGTAATGCATTTTAAAATTAGCTGGATTTAACCATGTCACATACTTCAAAACATCATATATGTAATTAAAAACAATGTTATTTGTTCATTTAAAATTAGCATCAGGTGTTGAATTTAGTAAGTAACTAAGTATTTTAATTTTCGTTGCATGTATGTTTGTGTACTAGGTCCTTGTGTAAAATGTATGTGGTAGGTAAAGTCTTGGCCCTCTTTACCTTCATGCCCCCCTTCCCTGGTGTCATGCCTGTAATGTTATGTTACAGGGCAAAAAAGATGTTGCAGATATAACTCAGATTATTAATCAGTTGATTTTAAAATAGATAATCCTGAATTGTCTGGGCAGGCTTAATCATGTGATCCCTTAAGCAATTTCTTCTGGCTGAGAATAGAAAAGAATGTGGCTTGTTGTTGCTTTGCTGGCTTTGAAGATACAGGGGGTCATAAGCCAAGAAATGTGAGCACCTTTAGAAGTTGAGAATAATGGCCAGCACAGAAACAACCTCAGGCCCTCAACTGTACGAACTGGATTCTGCCAGGCACTTTAATGGTCTTGGAAATGGATTTTCCCCTAAAGATTTCAGATAAAAAAGAGCCCAGGCCAGCCAACATCTTCACTTGTGCCTCACGAGACCCTGAACAGAGAATCTAGCAGCCTGTGTCAGTCTTCTGACCTTCAGAATTGTGAGACAATAATTGAATGTTTTGCAGCTATACTTGTGATTTATTATGGCAGCAATAGAAAATTAATGTGGCACATTTTGTACTGAGAGGGTAAAAAAAACTGGGAGTCAGGAGGTTTTGTTCTTATCCTGCTACTCTAATTCAGATAATCACTTGCCCACTGTGAGATTTCTCTTATCAGTTGAGTGAGTTAAAATTTGTTCTGTGTGACTTTTATTTTATGAGCTTTTTTCCAGCAAAATTCATCCCTTTTAGTGTACATTCACTGTGAGTTGTAATAAATGCATATAATCACCTTCACAAAGAACAGCAAAAAATCCTCATGCCACTCCTTTGTGTTCAACTCCTCCCACCAATTCTAGCACTGGAACCACTGATCTACTTATTGTCTCTACTAGTTTTGCTTCCTCCAGAAAGTCATTTCACAATGTATATGTTGTGAATGTTATATAAATTGGATATCAAATAAATTTAGTCATACAGTCTATATCCTTTTGTATCTGGCTTCTTTAATTTAGCATAATGCATTTGAGATTCGTCCACTTGGGTGTACCAGTAGTTTGTTCCTGAGTTCATTTCATTATATCAAATGTGTATAATAATCTCTTCATTCCCCAATTGAGCATTTGGGTTATTTCCAGCTTTTGAGAATGAATAAAGCTATAAACATTTGCCTTTAGGTTTTTGTGTAAACATTAATTTTCTTGGGTAAATATATAGGAATGAGTGGGATCTTATTGTAAAAGTATGTTTATAAAAGAAATGTCCAACTGTTTTCCAAAGTGGGCATACCATTTTCCACCTGCAATGTTTGAGGATATCAGTTGTTTTGAATGCTTGGTATTAACTTTTAGAAATTAAAAAGTGGAGCCGCTTTAAAGGCTATTGATCTCTCACTGTGATTTTAATTTGCATTTGTCAGATACATTATATTTTCTTCCAGTCCAGCAACACTTTTTTTTTTTTTAAATCCTATGACTAATTCTTAACTGTATTCAGCTCTGTTGGAGAGAAGACTTCATGAGGCATCTGCATTTCTAGGGGACTACTTGCTTTTTTATATTTCCTTGTAAACTCTGGAGCAGCAGAACTTCCTTTGTGGTTAGAAACTCCTGTGCCATCCTGTCTCAGTGTGTTTCTCAATCAAGGGTTAATGGATCAGAAAGCGACTGGGCATTCCCATTCTATCTGGCTGGGAGCACTAGAATAGAATTTACTGGTAACATAATGCATACTTGGGATGGGGAAAGGCATGTTACCAAAACCTGATATAAAAAGTACAAAGGCCTAATATTGTAAAAGAATAAGTCATACCAAAAAGTAGAAAATTTTAAAATTTGTTTGTGTTCCTTCTTTGTATCTGATCAGAGATGTGACATTTCTTACTTAAGGCTAAATAGCTCTGAAATGTCAGCACTTAAAGCTACTTTATTTTTGTGACTATGTTCTCCATCTTGGATTTTTAAAATACTCGTTAGGGTTTTATGTTCATGTTCTTTCCTTCTTTTCGTAGGAATCTGGTTTTCCCAACCAGGTCTATAAAATTTAGGTGACTTGGGGTCTTCATTGTGGGTATGAATACTATATTTGTTTTGGGATGGTATGTGATTTACCACAGAATCTCCATTCCCTAATGCCTGCTGTGTAAAATGAACAATTCCCTCCCACTGAGTTTGTGTCCATTAGCAAAATATTTCACTGCAATAATGAAATAAGGAATAGGGCAGATTGAAATGCTATAAGCTTTAAAAAGTAGTGAATAGGAATGACAGAAGATTCTGGAATTGATAGGAAGTGTATCACAAGTATTTGTTACAACCAGGGAAAGCTAACAACATTGTTATTGTAGCTTTTGTTATGGGTTGTCTTGGCCTTCAACAATGCTTACTGAGCATCCCAGACTTTCCTATTCTAGTGTGAGTCACCTATAGAACAAAAGCTTTAAGAAATGAGTGCCAGGATGACACGTTTGGGGGTGACATAGTCTGAACCCCTTTGGGGATGAGTAGTTTGATCCCCTTTACTATGCTGGCATTTTTGGTTCGTCACAATGACTGAAAGAGCTGTTGCAATTGGAAAGAGGGGTCAATATGCAGAACCACCCACCCATAGAAGAACTGGCCCCTGACTGGTGTTTCTTGAAAGGTGCCTCCAAATGGAGTAGAGCACATTCATGACATAATACAAAAATATGTGTAGACACTGACCGTTTTCATTGCCTATGAAGTTTATATGGAAATGAAGAACTATTTGTCATAGGAATTTCTAGAAAGAAAGCTTTGTAAGTGATCTGGATTAAAGAAATTAGAGAAATTGAAGGGGAAGAAAAAAGAAAGTAATGGCTGTTTCAAACACTTATAGGGAAATACTATAAATGGGGAGACATGTTTGTACATTGGACAATGAATGTCAGACATTGGCTAATGAGTGTTCATTTCTAAGAAGAAGGTTCATTTTAATGTGCTAACAATCCCATGTTTCTTAGTTTGAGACAGTTTCACTGGGATTATTAATGCTGCAATGAAAGACTGCTGGTGAGCTTTTACCAAAGACAACATGTCCCTTGTGCTTTGTTCCCAACTTCCTAATAGAGTCCAGTATCACAAATGGAAAAAAAACCCACGCTTTTAAAAAGACCCTGGTCAGCTCATGGTGTTTTCCTGATGAGCTGATAATGAGCACATTTTTACCTTATTAGAGAAGATAAATAGAGATAGACCAGGAAACTGCAGGGAGTGAGAGTTATAGAAATAATCTATCCTCATTTCAGGGATGTCACACCGGAGACATCATGAAACAGATACAATTTGGCTTTTTAAATTGCATAGGTAAAGATAATGAATTCTCTAAAGACTCTCAATGCATCTTAAAGAAATGCATACCATTTCAAGATAAACTGTGAAACTATTTCAGAACAACGGGCAGCAATATTTCTTACTTGCCTTCCATGCTTTGAAATAGTAAAATATTCATTAGGTGAATGCTGGATGAAAATTTTAGAATTTCTGGATTCTTGTTTTCACTGTTATTACATGGTTGCATGCTAAAAGCAAGAAGCTAAATTAGTTTTTCACCTAATGTCACTCTTAATTGCTGGTGACATGAACCACAGTGATTTCATGAAGCAGTTTGTGAAACTGAAAATTCCTGCAGTTCAGAATGGGTGTCCTTATATAGAAAAATGTCAGGCATAATAGATTAGGGAGATAAAATTCCTAAGAGAGGTTAT